GAAGGAATTTTCTGACTATGAAGGTGATCAGACATTGGAACAGGTTACTTAGAGAAGTTGGGCAATCTCCTTCTCTTGAAAATTTCAAGAGCAGTTTGGACAGACGCTTGGCTAGGATGGTTTAGTCAGGGATGATCCTGCTTTGAGCTGGGGTGTACTAGACCTAGTGAGGTTACTGAAGCCAGCCAAGAACTCTCAGGAGAAGTCATTGGGCTTGTCTGTATGTTCATTAATGCACCTTAAGTACTGCATGCTTAGTTTAGTACTTAATAACGTACTAACTAAATGCACACTAACAAGACTTACTGCAGAGTGGTGCGGGCACATGGATTTTTTTTGTGATGCTTACTGTACATTAGCCTAATAACACTGTGCAGTAGCCTATTAGCATGGTTTTTAATCACCACGCTACTGCACAGTATTATTAGGCTAATGTGCAGTAAGTGTCTCCTGTAGATGTGCCCATTAACTGTCTTCCCTGCTCTCCTGTATCCTCTGAGAAGACCTTTGGGAAATGCTGGAAGACTGAAAAACTCACTATTGTGCCCCTCCCCATTCCCTGGGGAGCACCACTGCTGCTGTGATTGTGATGCAGTCTGGGGCAGGAGAGGCTCCACAGTCAAGGAGCTGTATGTCTCTATGGTACTGAAGCACCCAGAATTTGAAGCACCCCAAATTAGTGCACATCAGACCCAGCCTGAATCCCTAACCAGTGGTAGTGTGTGACTGCCTTTGGGGAACTAACTAAGGCCCACTAGACTGTTATCTGAAGACTCTGAGGTTGGCTACTTATCTTTCAGGAAAAATAAAACCCACACAAACACATTACGCTACATGTTCCAGCCCTCTGTCACTAGATTACCCAGCCTTATGGGATCCTAAAGTCCCCAAAGCCAGCCAAGAGCCTATAATTTCCATTGTGAAATCACGCTTTTCTTGTAACACTCGTTGCTCATCTCCCTGACACAGAGAAGTAAAATGGGATACTAATTGTGGCTGATTAGATTTGTTTTCGGATCATCCAGATTACTGATGTCCAGAGTCCACTTTTAATGTCATTATGCTGTATCAAAGCATTCTTTAAAAAAAACAAAAAAAAACCTAAAACAACTAAATAAAACCCTGTATTGCTTATTGAAGTGATGTGATAATCCTGTTCATAAATAACAAATAGCATTATGCATGGTTATATTAGTTGTGTACTTCTGGCTGCTTTGAATGTGCAAAAGTTGTAACCTCCTTTCATCTTGCAGGCTATTTCCTGCTTGTGTGAAGATAAATATAAGGACTTCAGGAAATCTGCAAAGAAACGGTCAGTTAGTGCTGACAATCTGACTGTGGTTAGATGGTCCCCTGCGATCATCTCCTAACAGCGGAGCCAGGATATTCCTACAGAAGTACTGTTTCTTCCATCCAGTTTTGGGGGGGGGGGTAGGGAAAAAAACAAACAAGACTTTCGATTTTTTTTTTTATTTTTAGATCTGTCAAGCTGCCTTTACAGTGCCTCCCCATTGTGTAGCACACAAGAATAAAATATTGAGTGGAAAGATACGAGAGAGAAGAAGAAATTTATTTTTTGTCACTGTCACTAACAGCTTTACGTTTTTGTGAGGAAACAGTGAATTGAATGCTTGGAAGAGGAAACAAAAATGGAATAGAGGCCGAAAGAAATTTGAGGTCGGTGCCATTTATTTTATTTGCTGTGCTCTTCAACAGAAACGACGGCATGAAAATAAGCCACGTGATCAGTTTGACAGCGCACTAGAGGAATGGGGTTGGGAAGGGTTCAATTTAAATTTTTCTCCTTAGAATCTTTCTTATTCCTCTGTTCTGCTTCCCTGGGTTACTTTTTTCTGCCTTTCCTTTTGCACAGCAGCAAATACGAAGTTTGTATCTACGGTAGCACAACCCTCTGAATAAATAGTATCGTTGTTTTTTTCACTGCACTTTTCTCCACAAGCTGTGTTTGATTAGCATTATTCTTCATAATTATTATGCATATGTTATGTTCCCCCATATGCCTTTTATTGTACTTTAAAAAAAATAACTTGACCACAGTGCTGAACCAAAAGTGTATACAAGGATCAGATGATCGTTCATAATGTCATGATGTATTTTATTTATAGTATATGTGGGTGTGTGTGCCTTCCTGAGTTCTTGGAATCATTTATTTTTCTTTGATATAAAGATAGTGGTGAAAGTGCTCAGGTGATGAGACTTGAGCCAAATTGCTAAAATTTGCATCGATCGTCTGGTCGCTTCTTCAGATTTCATAGTATTAGATGTTTAACAGATTTCAGTCTGAAGGAATTTTTTTTTGTATGGCCTGACTCGTTCATTCCTTCACCTCCAAGTCCATTGTTGCAAGCAATATCCTCAATTTTTATATGTTTACTTTAAATCAAGTTTAGTCTGTTTGTATAAAATCAAAAAACTTTAAAAAAAAAAAAAAAAAAAAGCTTTGTTCCAGTGAAAAGGTCCATAGAA